AAAATAGATTTGATATCCAAGATCCAAGATATCAGCATAGCACCTTTTTTTTAGCATTGCACCTTGACTTCAGCAAGCAATTTGACAGTGGTAATCATGACACCAGTCTCTCTACTTCTGTTTATTCGGCAGGTTTCAGGAGAAGGGCAATCTGGAGGTCTTACTTTTTACCATCCAGTCCCGGATGCGAGCCAACAACCAGAAAGTGTACATACCGCATGACGGGAAACTAGTATCTGACATTAACCGGGTACAGTGGCTTTTCCCTGTGTGTTGTCGTGGGTTGATGGAGTCCTGATACAGCCATGAAGAATGCCCACTGGGCACCTTCTTTGGTGTTACTAGTTAAACGCCAGCTATTTGGGGGTTATCTGGGTGTCATACTAAGGGTCAGTCCCCACTCACTGTCCTGCAGCTCAATCCCCTGTTGAGATGCTGAGTTCATTCTTCAGAGCCAATTTCAGTGTGTATCTTCTGTGGAACCTTGGTTTGTCTTGAATCTGGAGCATTTCTTACAACAGAAAGGAAGTGCCCTATGACACGTCTGAGGTTTGGAGACTTAAGCTTATCTGGAAGTTCTATTCACAGAGACGTAGTGTTCAGTCAGTAAGAACTTGTGGAGCAGCCAGGCAGTGAGAAACAGTATATAAGGCCAAGAGTCTGAGGTAGATTTTGCAGAAGAAGAAACCCAGAGGTCATGACCTGTGCTCATTGGCACATTGGCCCAACCATGAAATCAAGAGTCTGTCACTGAGCACCAGTCTGCCAACCTCTTTACCTATGAGCATTGGCTTTACCTCCATTCCTGAAGTAGCTCTGGGGCCAGTGAAAGAGATGGGGTCCCAAGCTGAAGTGTTTCCCACTCACCCCAGGAATTCTCCTTTTGCCCTCTGCAGGCCTGGGAGAGCCTGGAAGAGGCTGAGTACCAGAGGGAGCTGGCCCTGAGGAGCGAGCTCATTCGCCAGGAGAAACTGGAACAGCTGGCCCGGCGCTTTGATAGGAAGGCCGCCATGAGAGAGACATGGCTCAATGAGAACCAGCGCCTTGTGACACAGGTAATGGGGACACACCTGAGGACTGCAGGACAGGACAAGAGCTTTAGAGCACCCAGAGCTCAACTGAGCTGGAGCCCAAGCTGGTGTCTCACAGCAGCCAGTAAACCTTTCTTCCTTGGTGCTCAACTCCACGTGATTGGCAGGATCTAGACTTTTCTAAAGGAAGAACCCTCCTTGGGGGTTTAAATCTTCTTCAGAGCTAGAAATCAAATCCAGTGCCTCGTGCATGCTGCCTAAGCTACCCCAGTCCACACTGTCTCACTTTTATGAAAGAGCCTGCAAGCCCAGAACTTCCCCCTGAGCTTGTCTTATGTAGGCCAGTAGCATCAATAAAAGTGGAAGGTAATTGACATGAAATGATGGCTCTCCCCGGAGAGAGTGAAATCAGACCAGGCCTACAGTCCTGAGATGTATTTCACTAAGAATGGACCAAGGGCTGGTTCTTCATTAGAGCATCTGTTCCCTCCTACTTAGAGCTTGGAATCAAATTAAATTCTGTCCAGAAAAGGAATAGCGAGATTCTGAGATCATTAGAGAGGGTACGTGCACCCCAGCTAGTGCGTGGGAAGACCATCTGCTGCAGCTGCCTGGCTTCCAGGTACAAGCAGCCCCTGCGCCTCGGAATCAGGCTGGTCCGCTGAAGCAGGGTGGGGTGCTGCAGGCTATCTGAGCGCTCTGAAGGTAGTAACAGAGTTCAGGGAGAGGAAAAGAAGAGGACGTAAAAAGAATTAGGATGTGTTAGGTATGTGTGCCAATTACCCCGTGTAATCATTATGTGCTGCAAATATGTACTATAAAAATTTGTTTTTAAAATAAGTTTGAAAATATGTAATTGTTCATTCCTATTTGTCTATTTTTTATTTTTTATTTATTTTTATTTTTTTCTTCACATTCTGTAAGGATTTAAAGTTTAACATATCAATACTTGATGGAAAATACCTGCTCCATGCTCTGTCTAAGATATTTGATATTCAGACAGTGAGGTTAAGCTCAACTGCCTATGTTACAGGGTAATAATATCATTAAGCTTCTCTTCTGAAGGGTTAACAACATAAGTTTGCAGACCAAAAATTAGAGAAAAAGAAGAGCTGCAAGGATAGCCATCGTTTTGGCCCTAGCCTTTCAAGGTCAGTGAGGACTCAGGACATAGGAGAACCTTTACTGTAACATCCTGTAACTCAGTTGTGTCCCAAATTTTCTGATTGGACTGGGGAGACGGCTCAGTAGAATAAGGGCTTCCCTGGCAAGTGGAAGGACCTGAGTTCAATCCCCAGGTCTGGAAGGAAAAAAAAAAA